GGGGGGGGAGGGGGGGGAAAAATGACAAACCCCCCCCCCAAAAAACACACACACAAAGCCAGGAAAATGTGGTTGTCAAATGAGCTAATGGGCTTACAGGAAGACACTGTACTTGAAACTAACTAATTTTGGGGAAACCACTAGTTTTCAAATTAGTGCTACTTTAAGACCAGAGTCTGACTTTATCTTTAAAAAACAAAACAACAACAAAAAAAACAAAACAAAACTAACTTACTAAACCAGTTTGAAATACACTTTTAGGTGTATGTCTACTCTGCAATGTAGTGTAGAAACACCCAGGACAGTTTGGGTGCCACAATACTAACACACAGTGCCATACAGACTATTCTTGATATGACGCTTTGTGGTCATGGCTAGGCTGCTTGCAGTACCTAGCTAGTTCACATACCTCTACACAACATTGCAATATCAGCACCAAAGACACCTAAGAGAGCATTTTAAAAACAGTGCCCAGCCAAGCTATATTGGAAATATATTTCAGCTTAGCGGAACACTGTACGTACTTCCAGCGTAGTTTTGAAATATTGTGCAAAGGATGGTGCAAAGGCCTTGAAATTCTTATACCATGTTTTGCAAAACCCTTCAAATCTTTTAGATTTTTAATCAAAAACTTGGTTTAGAGAACAGATGGCAAATTCATTTTTTAATTGGAAATGTTTGCAAGCGTTACCTACTACACCTTTTACCACTTCAGCTACAGTGATGCAAGCCTAGGGCTAGAAATGAACTGCTCACAAGGACCCTGCTCAGCTGGATCTTAAAAGAGGGAAAAATGTGAAGAATATTTGATCATTTTTGCAAGGTCTCAAAGATCCTTTGCATGCCTTATTTTCCCCTCGTTCCTGTATGCTGTGGCTAACTGCACTTAGCTGTTTGGAATGGGCCATCAGGAATACAAAGGGAACATTAAGCCATGGAAAAAACATCCTGATGAAGACAATACAAACTAACAACTGAAGATAAGCTTCTAAACAGCTCTCACTAAGGGACAAGAATCAAAACAAACCCTCTGGAGAAAAACTGCACCACAACACATTTTCTAGTTAAAACTGATTCAAAGCAAAAACCAACATGCAAAGCCCAGAGCCCTTAAAGTAAGAAATAATTAATTAGGAAAACAGACTTAATTTGTGGCTTCTTATCATTTCTACCATTTGGCAATTTTGCATGTTGAATTATTACTGGAGGCAGTAATCCACGTACCCCTCTCTCCCATTCTAGAAATTTACACTTCATTGGATGCAACCTGAAATCTCTGACCAGCGTGACTATTAGCATCTAAAAAACTTATACAGAACTAGTTTCACTTGTTTCTTCTGCTTGAAAAAAAAAAAAATGACTTTGCAGGAAAATCCTTTTTTACACCAAACAACTTCAAGGTAAACAGATTATTCCAACATTTCTCTGAGCCTAATCTGCATATAAAATGAACTGTTCCAAACAGAAGATTTTACCACACCACCTTCAACTCTCCCATGACACATGAACTTTCATTTCTACCCAGGAGAACTTTTACAATTTTTTCTCCTATGCCTGAAGAAGGATTTGTGCTCGAAAGCTTTCAATTAACGACTTTTTTTTTTTGCAAAAATCTAGTCAGCCTAATAAAAGATATCACCTCCACCATGAGTCCTGATGACTTTTGCAGGATGCATTTTCATGCAAGAGAGCTCAGTTTTACAGTGAAGATTTTGCCAGATCTCACAGCTGTTTCTAATTTGACCAGATTTCAGGATCTGTCCCAATCCTTATCTAAATCAATAGCATCCTATCATTTCTATTACATTCATGTAGCTTGCTCTACCAGTGACATCTGTAAGACTACAGACTATCCACACCAGCCATCCTGTTCCAAATAAACAAGCCCTTCAATTCTTTCCATTTCCAGTACAATTAGATACATTTCACAACTCATGCTACCCGAAATACCAAAGAATATGAACCCCACAATGGGGATTAAGAGAAGAAAATAGTGATCCCCCACAAGGTAAAAACGATTCTTCACTTAGACCTCAAACCTACAAAAAAGATCCACATAGCTAAACCAATGCACATGTACAGAAGTTATCCAATATCAAAGAATCTCTGCATAAGCAATGGATACAGCCACACTGCAGAATCACGGCCCTTACAAGTACTATGTAAATTTCTCTAGATGTTTATTTTCAATCAGTGTCAGTCACCTCAACCCTTCTTCCTTGCATTTCATATTTAATTAAAGAGATTTAAAAATTTCTTAAGGAGAGGTGGGGACTAGGAAAATAAAAACTTACATCTTGGTTATGTTTGGTCGTTATGTCCAGTTTTTCTTTTTTGGCTTGGTAGAGTTTCCTCCTTAGATCTTCTGTAGTGTCCAAATCCAATTCACTGGTATTCTGTAATAATCTCAATTCACTCTGGACGTATTGCAAGCTGAATTGCAAGGAAAAAAAAGAAAACTTTTTCATTAAACAAGATTTCCTTACTGTTCGGTTATTGTATTATTTTAATTGTAAAACAAAACAAAAAAAAAACAACTGAAATAACTCTGCAAGGAAAAATTCATTAAACAAAGTAAGACGACAAGTGAAAAATGGCTTTCACCACAAATAAATTTATTAAAAAGTAGTTATATGAAACTGCAAATCCTAGCCTACGCAATTTTGCAAGCATTTAAAGAAATCTATTGTGGTGGTGATTAGCATTACTACAGCTTCCAAAGAAAGGATGAGAACTATAAAGAAGTATAATAACTTTATTGTTTTGTTTCCAAACCTAAGTAACAGGAAACAACACATGAAAAGCCCCTAAACATCTAACAGTTATGAAAATGGAATAATAACTTGAATTTTTCAAAATATATCAAGTTTAATTATTTTAAGATGTTAATAAGAAATTGTTAAAACTACATCTAATTATCTTAATGGCACCACATGTACATTATGATATAATATATATGGCCTTTCTATGAAAGTAGGAACAATGGGCATTGTAATCTGAAATCAGGTCAATTATTTTTAATCACATATCAGTGCACCACTACACCAACTTACTTAATAATATGGTGATAACAAGCATTAGTAGGACTCTACTTGGACCAGGAGCAACAGAACCATAATAGCTATATTACCACTTTCAGGGTTACTATGGAAGCCACTCTCACAGGAGTCAAAGGAGGAGGAGGTAAAAAATAACTCAAAGGGCAAAAGAAAAGCAACAAGAAATATGTAACATAAGATTAATAAGTTTACATTAAATGACCACTAGTTTAAAAAGAGATATTATAATAGCTATGACTTGTAAAGTAAGCAGGGGCGGATAGTAAATTAAGTATAAATATGGAATGTACAAATGGGTAGAAATAGTCTGAGCTCCCGTAAGAAACTGGCCAAATGCTTGTTGGTTGTGGGCAGCACAAATGTTTTGGGCTTTGGAGTTATGTTTTTAAAAGAGATGAGCAAATTAGAAGCAGAGACAACCCACATTTGGATAACATAGGAATAGCTAAAGCCAACAAGCTTTACAAAGGTGAACACTCACAAAATTACACAAAGGACTATTTATCAGAACAAAGATTTATAGTAATAAAAGATTTTGTAAGCAGCAAGAACAGAAACTATTAAATTAATTTACTGTTAGGTCTAAGTGCAAAATGCAAGAACTTCATTCATCATTTCATCAGAATTCAAAGATGACCATACAGTCTTGTTCAAAACTTCTAGGATTAAATACTGGGATAATCACATTTTAAATAAGTGTATTTTTTTACCATGACTATCTACAAAATGTCAACCTTAGACAACTACTAAAATTCTTTACTGAAAACAACAGGGTGAAATAGCTATTGAACATATTGCTCTGTAGCGTGGATATACACAATACTAGTAACTCAGAAAGGAAAAAAAGAAGTCAATATTAGTCAGTCCTGCAATCCTACTAGTTAGAATACTATAGACATCACTTAGGCTTTTTTCCTTCCCCTTGAAAAATAATTATACCATACAACTGTAACTGTTACAACCATTAAATATTCTTCTTTCACTTGTTAAATAGCTTTGGGATTTTTCTAGGCTTTCATAGTCTAAAGGGACTGTACCCTGCATGTACTTAACGAACTATCACATTTCATAGGAAAACAAAAACAAAAAGAGTCCAACCCCAGGGATGTTGACAGATGTGGGGAAAAAAACCACCCCCCAATAAACAGTGCTTTACCAGATGAGTGTGTAGCTTGTAGCCGTGTTGGTCTAAGGACATAGGCAGACGAGATTCACCCAAAGAACCTTGTTTACCAGATGAGGAATCACATCGGTCTGACCCAGTGCGATTCCTCACCATCAGCTCCCCAGCATTCGTATAGCCCATGCACTTCAGCAGGGCTTTTTAAATAAAAGCAGTTATTAGATAAAAGTGCTAGAACACCCTGCTGAAGTGCATGGGCTATACAAACACTGGGCAAGCTGGGTCAAACTGATGCAGTTTCTCTTCTGGACATGAGCTGCGCTCAGTGGGGGCTCACCAAGCTGAAAGTAAAGCACTGTTTTTATCCCCCCACCCAACATCTGTAAGCAGGCAAGATTCTTCTAGCTGCTACCAAAACAATTAGAGGCACTGCAGATCAAGATGTAGAAGGAAGTCACTGTTTAAAAATCAATCAATTTAGAATAACAATAAAGGTATCTAACTTTTCAACTGTTTCAATACATCGAATACTCAGCGAGACAAAAATACTGGTGTACATGATAAAAGCAATATTCTTGAGCAGAAAATGACTTTACCTAAATTGAGTTAATAAACAATAAAATTTTAGGTAATTATGAACTCTACTTGCTCAACAAGCCTATCAAGTACTGGGTATGCCAACTGCTTGGATAACAAACAGACATGTTAAAGTTTATTTCTGAAACCAAGCCACTAATTTGCCAACTCCAGCACCCAAGCCTTCAGTTGAAGTCACAGCAGCTGGGGGGGGAGCAAGTCTGCTGAAAAGTGGGTCTAAAGTCTGTCAGAGTACAGAAGTCAGAGGCTGTCAACTGGGGGTACGTGTAACCCCAAGGGTACTTGAGAAGGCCCTAGGGGGTCTGCGCAGGCAGGCAGGGACAGAGGAACAAAACAAAAACTAATGGAGGAAAGAAACTGAAATACTGGATTTTAAAATAAGGGATTGAAGCTCACCGTTTGATCTCAGGAACACTGTGATTGATTGGAGAGGAGGAACTCATGACTACCACTTTCCAGCCTTCTAATCTATGTTCTCAGGATAATGAATAGTCTTTGATAGTAAAATTATTTTACAGGAATCAAGAAATTTCAAAGAAGATTCTTCCCCACATCATATCAGTACATTAAAACCTATACAAAATATATAAAGGAAATATTCAGTTTATTTCTCACCACAATAGCCAGTTATTAAATGAAAGGGTCAATTACATTAAAACTTACTATAGTTCTACATCTGATGTGATCAAATTTAAGGACAACACCCTCTAGCAAGCATTTGTAAAACCTCTCTAAACCTAAAGCCCAGAGCCAACATTTTTATAAAGACAACTCTGGATTCTAAATTTGCCAACAAAAGTTATATAGGAAGAGAGTGTAAAACACAAAACACCCCGTTTCTGGAAGGGG